CGGGGGCATCCCCCCCCAACCCCCCCACCGGGGCCGGAGCAGGAGGAGGGCGGCGGCACGTTTTTTGGTGAAATATTTGATTATAATGGAATAAAACCCCTTTCCTTGGTTGTTTGCGGGGGGGGGGGTGTGTGAATAACCATCTGGGCTCCCAGCCGGGTATGGCTGAGCCCCAAAATCCTCTCCTTGCTCCTGAACCCCGGTACCGGCCGTACCGTACCTGGTACCAGAGGTGCCCACGGTACCGTGGTACCGAAGGTGCCCACGGTACTGACCACATCATGGTACCGACCACACCGTGGTACCATCCACGTTGCGGTACCGACGATGCTGTGGTACCAACCACACTGTGGTACCATCCACGCCGTGGTACCCCCGGTGCTGCGGTCCCCCCGGTGCTGCGGTACCGACCACGCCACCACCGGGGCGTGCGAGGCGGCGTGAGGAGCTCCTCCGCGGCGGCGGCGGCGGGTTGTGCACGCTGTGGGCGTGGAGCCACTGAAATATGGTGCTGGAGAGGCATGGAAGAAGATGAGTCAGCACCTCAGGGAGTTGGCAACCCAGGGCCCGCAGCCCGCCACTCGCCGTGCGGGAGCCGCAGGGAAATGACTTTCCATCGCCCCGGTACCGGGATGCCCACGGGATCCAGGGACTGAGCGGGACCTGGAGGGGCAATGGGGTGTGCTGGGCACGGGGCCTCACGCCAGCCCCGGGAGGTGCCGTCTCCGGTAAGCGATGCTGGGTTGAGAAAAAAGGGTTTTGGAGCCGTAGGTTTGGGCGAGATGGGTCGTCCCCGCGGCTGCCGGGGAGCCCCTGCATGATGGAAGGGGGAAAAGAGCTGCTTCGTTAGCAAAGGGGGGGCTGGCTGGGGGCTGGAGGACGGTGGATATTCCTGGGGGTGCTGGGTCAATACCGGGTAATTGTCCGAGGTCGAGCGCTGTCACGTTTTATTGTTTTCTTTTTACAATGGCTGTGGTTGTTCGCTGACCAGGAGAACGGGGAGAAGCATTTTTTTATTATTATTATTAATTATTTTTAACCAAAGGTGACACAGAAATGCACCCCAGCACTGCACTTTTTCTTTCTTTGGAGTTAATTTACCTTTCGTCAGCTCCGCTCTTTGTGTGCAGCACGTCTTAAATTTTAGTTAAAAAAAAAAAAAAGGTGTGTGACTTTCCATCCCCGTGCGCATGAGCCGTGTGTGTGTGTGTGTGTGTGTGTGCACAATACGGCATTCACGGCCGGGTGTGTGCAGCTCAGGTGACCCGTGCCCAGCACTGGGGGCTCGCCCGGTCCCCCGGGATCTGGGAGACCGACACCAACAGGAAACCAGCCCCGATGCGTGGGCTCTTCTCCCAGCCCATCCTGGTTGGTGCTGGTGTTCCCCAGGTCCCCGTGAGGATGCAGGGACAGCGTGGCTGTTCCCTTCCTTCCCAGAGCCAAGGCTGGGGGGATGGAGGTGCTCTGGCCAAACTGGGAGAGGCTGGGGGTAGGAAGGGGGAGCAGCCTTTGGTGTTGGGGTCACATTGGGAACACAATGTGTGTGGCATTTGGGTGGGGGGCAGCG